CACCTCCGGGAAGATTGGCGGGCCCACCTGGGGATCCCACTGCCACCCTGCTCTGCCACGTGCCCAGCCCTCGGCTGTGCCTCCCGTGCAGGTTCTACCTGGACGGCAGCTCCCTGGTGCTCAAGGGCCTGCGGGCCGTGGACTCGGGCGCCTACACCTGCGTGGCCCGCAACGCCGCCGGCGAGGATGCCAGGCTGCATACGGTCACCGTGCTGGGTGAGGCATGACAGGGGACATGGGGATGGGGACACAGCAGCTTGGCCAGCGTGGGGTCTCTGTGGGCCCCTGGGGGCGCTGAGTGGGCCGGAGGACCGAGCAGGAGACCTGGGCTCAGATCCCAGCCGTGCCCGCACGGGAGCTATCCCTGGGGCTCCTCAGTTCTCACACTCGAGGTGCCGTCCCTTGGGTGGCTCAGGGGGCTGCGGGCGTCGGGGTGCTGCGCCCACACACGGCAGGCACTGTCCCATCACCTCCTTTGCTCTCCGCCCGCCCCCAGCCCCTCCCACCATCGAGCAGGAGGCAGGTGGCACAGGGGTGCTGGTGAGCAGGCCCGGGGAGCCGGTGACCATGGCGTGCCCGGTGCGGGGCTCCCTGCCCATCCACGTGAGCTGGCTCAAGGACGGGCTGCCACTGCCGCTGTCCCAGCGCACCCTCCTGCATGGCTCAGGCCGCACCCTCAGGTAGGGGAGACCCCGGCTGGGCCTTAGAATGACAGACACACAGAGCTTCACAGTGGGAGACGGAAGACCCCGCAGGTGTAAAGCCTGGTGGTGACGCCTGACGATGGGGAGGATCGGAGAGCTTCCTGGAAGGAGGAGCCTGATTCAGTCTCACAGGAAGTGCTCACCATTTCAGGAGTGGGAGGAAAAGAAACATGCAAAAATGAAGATGTGATTTGAAGAAGAAGCAAGCAGGGAGAGAGATGGGGCAGCAGTGGAGGGCACTGTTTATTTCAGGGCAGACAGGGGTAGGCACTTGGCTAAGGGGACATTCGCATGAGATGGGAGGAAGTGGGTGGTGAGTGGGTTCCATGGGGAAGAGCAGCCGGAGAGGCAGCAGGTGCAAAGGTCCTGGGGTGGGCAGAAAAAGACAGGGCCAGGCTTTTTAGGATCCAGAAGGACTGGGGTTTTTCTAAGAGCTAGAAAGCCTGGGAGGACTTTTCTGTGCAGAGGTGGCTGACAGTTTTTTATTTTGTTTTTGTTTTTGTTTGGTGGTGAAAACATAAGATAAATGTTCTCATCTTAACCAGGCTTAAGCACATTCACAGCCAGGATGCTGAGGCGAGAGCATTGCTAGTTTGAACCCAGCCTGGACAGTTTACACCTAGTAAGGCCCTGTCTCAAAATAAGCAGTAGAAGGAGCTGAGACTGTAGCTCAGTGTGAAGGCCCTGGGTTTAGTGCTCAGTACCAAAGAAACACAGAAAAGCCAAGCAGAAGGAAGCGTTTGAGGACAGAATGAGAAGGGTAACACCTGCGACTCTGAAGCAGTCGTGTGTCACGAGGTTCACGGCCAGGTGGCGCAGGTCTGAGGTTGTCTTCGTTAGACAGACAACCCCGCAGTGTGTTTCCTGGGCAGACTGGGCTCACGGCAAAGTCTTTTGCGAAGCCACCAGGAGATCCCATCCGGCCCAGCTCCGGCTCTCTCTGCTTCCCTCTGGCAGGGCAGTGTTGGAAGCCAGGACTGGCTGCAGTGTGGCCTCGCTTTCAGGAGGGTCTGGCAGCCCCGGGGCGGGGGGCGGATCATGGGGACAGAGGGTGGAGACAAGGACAGAGGTGACCCAGAGGGAGGACAGGTGAGCTGTCCCCGTCCCTGTCCCCATGATGGGACAGCTGAGTCTCCAGAGTCCCGGAAAGCAGGGGTCCGCTGCGAGGTACAGTGGGTCACGGGACAGAGGGTGGACTCCCTTTGCGTTTCAGCCTCTCTGTGAGAGGGGGCGCTGCCGTGCACCCCTCCTCCTGTCTCCATCTCTCCCTCTCCCCTCCTCCCCGCAGGATTTCCCGGGTGCAGCTGGCAGATGCGGGCACCTTCACCTGCGTGGCCGCGAGCCTGGCTGGCGTGGCCGACAGGAACTTCACCTTGCAGGTGCTCGGTAAGGAGCAGGTGATGCCCTTTGGTCTGGGTGGGGACCGTGAGGGCCCCTGGCCATCTGGGGGAGCCCAGGGCAGATCACAGCAATTCTGCCTTTGACTCCTTGGCGGCTCAGCCCAGGTCCCACTCAGTGGTTGGGCGCACACAGTGCCAGGGCCTTGCCAGCTGCCAGGATAGTGGTGAGGCTGTGTCTGTTAGCAGCTCCCAGGGAAGGAGAGGCTGCTGCTGTGGGAGCCAGGGGGTACCTGCCTGGCCTTGGGGACCCCGGGAGGTTCCTGGCCTAGGTGAAGGCTAATCTCAGCCAATCCTGGCACAGGTGAGCAGGGACAGCTTTGCCAAGGTCCTGGGGCGAACTGGTCCCTTCCCACCCCGCCCTCCACAGTGCCCCCCAGCCTGGAGCCGGCGGACTTCCAGAGTGACATGGTGGTGGCTCCTGGCTCCTCCGTGGTCCTGCCATGTGATGCCCGGGGCAGCCCCCCACCCCTCGTATCTTGGATGAAGGATGGGGAGCCCTTGTTGTTCCAGAGCCTCGAGCAGGGGCCTGGCCTGCAGCTGGAGAAAGTGGGAGCCGGGGACTCGGGGACCTACTCCTGCGTGGCTGCCAGTGAGGCGGGGGAGGCCCGGAGGCACTTCCTGCTGACCGTGACGGGTGGGTCAGGTTCGGGTGGGTGGAGGAAGCCTGCGGGAGGCTCAGGAGGCTGGGGAAGCCCCTCCAGCTGGCTCTGGACAGGGCAGTCACTGGCCTGGGTTCCTGGGGACAGTAATTGGGACATTGATCCCCCAGGGCTGTGTCTCGTGGCCTTGGTGGCAGTAGCAAAAATAAGAGTGCATGGACTCGGTGAGAAATTCTGCAGTGTGAAGCTGTACTGGAAAAATTGCAGCCCATCACCCCCTGTACTATGTCTTGTCGGTCTTTGTTTTTGCAGTGTCGGCATGGAACCCAGGGCCTTTGCACTGAGCTATGTCCTGACCCCGTTTTTATTTGTTTTGAGACAGAGCCTTGCTAAATTGCCCAGGCTAGGTTCAAACTTGCAGTCTCCTGCCTCAGCCTCCCAGAGTGCTGGGATGACAGGCGTTCCTGCCTTGCTTGTTGGTTCTAAAGCCAGCTGATTGTCCCGAGCAGATGGACCCCTGGCTCTGATGTTGCCATGGGTCTGGGTCTGGGAAGAGGGTAATGGGGAGAGGAGCCCGGCCCTGGCCCTGGCTGTGGCTGACCGGGGCCTCCCTGCAGACCTGCCCCACATCCAGGACTCGGGCCAGCCCGCTGAGCTGACACTGATGGCCGGCGCCCCCATGGAGCTGCTGTGCGATGCCCGGGGCATCCCCCGTCCCAACGTCACCTGGCATAAGGACGGGCAGGCCCTGCATGGGCTGGAGGGCGGCAGCCGAGGGGACCGTGTGTTCCGCGTGGAGGGTGTGCAGGTGCTGGGCTGGGACTGGGAGCTGGTGGGCAGGGGAGGGCGCTGCAGCTGCCACGCCTGCTCCAGCTTTTCCTCTGTGCGGGCTGTGAGGTCGCAGACAGGGCCCCCAAGCCCTGTGATCGGAGCTCCTGACAAGTCCAGAGGCCCTCTGGGCAGAGGCGGGCCTTGTACCGGCCCTAAAGCGTGGAGGAAGAAATCCCGGGAGAGGCCAGGCGAGCTGGGAAGTGGAGAGGCAGCTCTGCAGGCCCGGGCGGATCCAGAGCCCTAAGTGGAGTCAGAGGGAAGCCGGGCTCATCCTGCTCATCCTGCTCTGTCCCCAGGTGGGTGATGCGGGGCTATACACCTGCCTGGCCGAGAGCCCGGCAGGCGAAGCTGAGAAGAGCTTCCGGGTCAGAGTTCAAGGTAGGGGATGTGGGGGTGGAGGCGGGTGGGAGGCAGGATGGGGCCTGTGGGTCGGGGTCCCTCTCACGTCCTCTTGTGCCCCAGCCCCTCCGAGCGTGGTTGGGCCCCGCGGCCCCCGCTCCGTGGTCGGCCTGGCCCCGGGGCAGCTGGTCCTGGAGTGCTCAGTGGAGGCAGCGCCAGCGCCTGAGATCGAGTGGCACCGGGACGGCGTCCTGTTGCAGGTGGGTGCCACGCTGGGACCCGGGCGCTGCCTCCAGTCCAGGCAGACACCAGGCCCTGTCTGGGTGGATCCTGGGCACTGAGCCTGCCCTGAGCAGCACTTGCCCTACCTGCCGTCTGGAGCCCTCTGCCCTGCCATTTTTGTCACTTTGGGGCGGGCCTGGGGGTCTCACTTAGCGGCTGTGTGACCGGAGGCCATGGGTGAGGAGCTCGGTGCTCCTCACACCTGGGGCGGTTTGCAGCTGGACTCGTGGATTTTGTGCCCTGGGGGAGGGGCTCAGGGTTGGGGTGCCCGCTCCCCGAGAAAAGCCTGGGTCTGTACCCCGCGCCTCTGCAGGAGGACGCGCACACCCAGTTCCCAGAGCGCGGCAGATTCCTGCAGCTGCAGGCCCTGAGCGCCGCCGACAGCGGCCACTACAGCTGTACCGCGCGCAACAAGGCGGGCAGCACCAGCGTGGCCTTCCGCGTGGAGATCCACAGTGAGTGTCC